GCCACCAGGGAAAACAGCTAGGTGGTAGTAAATAACTGGGTACTTTTCCCGATACCTTTCCTTACCTAGGCACTCACATTGGTAATGTACCTTACCGCCACTAATCAGAAGACCGAAATCGGACTTTGTAAGGTACTCCTCATGGTAGTTTGAAGAAAAGAGACGAGTGACGTAGCCAGATGGCTGGGTGGGTGACGCATTTTCGGAGAAACACCATGCTATCCTAAGGAATTGAACGCCCATCGCAGATGACGGCAGGTCAGTCGCGTGATGGTCCTCGGGGGGGGACAACATCTGCGTACCGACCGAGTCGGCGTGCCAATGCACTCGTTTACAATATCGCAGGCTCCTTTTAAAGGGGGTGGGGGACCGCCCCCCCCCCCTTCCTGTGGATGTGGTTTTCTCATGCGATTGTGTTCGCCCCGCAACCACGAACGCCTGTCAAAGGACTCGGAAGAATATTGCACGATCGATTTTCATCCGCTGGATGGTCATTTGACAGCTGCCATGTTACTCTCGGATGCGCCGTCCAACCCACTACAAGGTGAGGAAGGAGGTGGGAGGACGTCCTTTGTCTGCCTGTTTAACTTCAGGTCCACTACCCCCCCCCCTTCCCCCACCGAGACCGCGAGAAGGGCAGAAGTGCAGGTGATAACCTCCAGCGCTGCCGACAAAGAGGGTGGCGCCGCGTCCAAGACCACGCACTTCCAGCAGCTTGTCAGCTGCTGCCCGTCCATGCGGACGGTGCTGCGGGTGGCGGCTTTCTATTTAACTACAGCCGATGTCATTGGTTGCACCGGTTGCACACGGCGGCGCTCGCAGTAGTCTGTTGTTGTCAGTCGGTGAGGTGTTCGGAACTGCTTAGCTCGCCGTACTCTCAAAGACCCCACTGTCACCGTCCACAAGAGTCATCGATTCCACGCTAAGGAATTTCCTAACTGAACAAGGTAGGAGGCACGAAGCAAGTTTAGTTAGTAGCTGTCTGCTCGAACCAGACCACACATACGAGCCATTTTAGGTTATGGGACACGCCATGGAGTAGGACAGAATCTCTACAGAGGATAGGCGGCAGGCTTGTAACAACTTCAAATTTTGACTTTGTAATCT